TCCGTCAACAGTTGGCACAAATATAAACGGCTCGCACGTAACGGATTCGAAAGTCGGGAGTGGGGGGGTAATCCGAAAACGAGTTGGAATGTCGAAGCTGGGGTCAAAGGTCAAAGGTCAAGAGGTGTAAAAGAAGGGGGAACATTCCCTCCTTAACTTAAGGTATAGGGAGCGAAATGCAGAATCTGCGCACAAATCTCAACGGCTCGACCTAGGCCTCGTGATAGTCGCGTGTATAGCATCATGGTAGGAAAGCCATCACTGTGCCGAAATTGGAGATCACAGGTCAATCGGGCACAGGGCAGATTTTAGACATGGTCTGACGGAGGCGATTGAAAAACTTTTTGTTTCGGCGGTGACCTACCATTTTTATGGCGCTTTATTGAAAGGACCATGAAATGTACTTTCCGCTGACATGCGAAGAGTAAGTGTCGGATAACCTTTTGACCCTCTTGTGTTAAACATGGATTTGTTTACTTTTAGAAAGAATTTTACTGCCGGGTTTGCTAGTAGAATCTATACATGCCTGGACATATGAGGCTAAAATGTCCACAAGTGAAATTTCAAAAGCTAAATTCGTTAAAGAAGGTTTATTATATGCATATATGCTCCTTAAATCGTATAATTTCTATGGCATTTTCTGTACTGTCAGTGTGTTACATGTAACTTACTGCCACTGCAGTAGCCACTGCCAGTGCATGTGGTGGTAATAGTAGGGTGTAGTTTGCCTGCGTTACTTAGTTACAGGTGGCAGCTCTCTATTTCAGCCTGTAGGCTTGCGTAGGTAAATGGATGAGTGCTTACCTATTCTGTCTTGCAAATAGTTGTTGCTACTACGTATGATGGGAGCTTCCAATCTTTAATCTTAAGACACTTAAACGTACGCGCCATCTCGTGGCAGACTTTCATAACGATCCCAACGAACATTCCTTTGAGAAGGTTCCTGATACCATCCCTGTGCCTTACCAGTTCACTGTTTCGGTGGGCGTATGTGAACACATTTGGGACTAACAGGGTTTACTAGAATCCCACCACTCCACCACAGAGTCACCGCAGTAGACGTGAGATGAGCGCTGTCGCTCCGCGGCACTTGTTAATGTATATGGTGTGTAGAAAGTTGTTTGCTATGCAGTATTTGAACTGAATGTAATTCAAGCAGTCTGTATACATGGATAATATTATTTGTAGTTGCTATTGTCTTCTCATATAGCACCATATTGGTACTTGTTCCTGATTGCATAGTTATCGTTCATTGTGCTATCTTTCATGGTACTTGCCTGATATTTGTGATTCTGATAATTTGGAAGCATGTACATGTAAGTTATTGAAAACTTTATATTGCAGATTGGTTGATTAGTCGGCGGCACTGTGAGAAACAATGGCAGAAGGCTGCACTTGTCATCAGAGAAAAAATCAACAATGCGATTCAAGACATGCCAGCTGTAGAGGAAATCACACAACTTCTCACTGGCACATGTAGTTATTGTTTTTTCAGCACCATTAGATAACAGCATTTACGTGCATGTACATAATATGTTAGACGTTGGATAAGGCACAAGATGAAGCATCGTTTTTTTGAGTCGCCTCTGAAAGTTTGAAGCCACCAGAACATTGATGCTGAGCTATTTATTTTATGTTTAAGTGGTTCCAGTTATACATAGTGAATACGTTGTTTTTTGTGATGTGCCTGATATGTTTATGTGGTGCTTGCTATCACTCAGTCTCAGCTTTTTCATTTATAATACCAGGGTAAAAAATACAAGGGAGTGATGAGCGATTCGCTCTTCAAACCTCCGAAATCGCTCCCGTGAGGCTTAAAATAGCTCCCGTACAATTTTTGACGAGAGGTATTTTTTCCACAGACTTGAAAAAGAGCTCCCGTGAAAAAAAGTTATTTTTTCCCTGGATAATACCATTCTGCAATTGAGTACCCCCGGAACCTTTCTTCAAAACTGCTTGGCAAAAATCCTACCTGTGACCATGTTGTAACTATAGCAGTGTAATTGTATCAACTATTCAATGTGACGTGTGTTCTGTGGATAGGATTCTTGCCTGCCATAATATATGTAAAAAAATGTTCCATTTAATAATGTCACATAATTACATTTTTCAGATATAAATTACTTTCATTGCATAAAGATAGTAGAGTTGTTACGAGAGACGGAGGCAGGAACTAAAAACATATTTGGAAGCTACTCCTCTCAGAGAATGAAGGTTATTAAATTATTTTTATTTAAGTTTCCAACTATATGTTTTATCTTGTAAGTGCAATTATATTCTGTGCTATCTCTGATCATTCTATTTGGTATTCTAGCACATGTTGGCATATAATCACTGGTTTATAAATTCCAAATTCAAATGTGCTTTGAACATATGATATATAATAATAGCATGGTAATTTGGTAGCACCTTAACGATGATGCTTTTGTTAATTAATTTTTTTCAGGATTGGCAGGAAGTCGTGAAGCTTTATGAGAAGGATGGCATATATTTAGCGGAGGCTGCAGACATGCTAATGAAAAATGTCAAATATGAGATACCGTCACTCAAACAGCAGATTAAGAAATGCAACCAGACTCAGGCAGTATGTTTGCAACAGTATGGGTTATCACGTCTACATAATCAGTTCACTTTTAATATCAAGCATACAACTTACAAGTAGACTGTCTACTTATATGATATCAAAGATATGCCATTAGATTAAGGAGTCCTGCTATAAAACAAGATTGCTTACAGTTTGACATATACAAAATAGGTAGTGGGTAAAACCAATTGGCTTTTATTAATTGCTATAAGACTATTTCTTTGTTTTTTCAATTATACTTCCAAGAATGGAATTGTAATTAATTTCTTAATAGACCTCTACATCAATATCATCACTAAGGCTGCAGATATGATGTATCGCATGACAATCATTGCAGGACTGTGCGAGGAAAGAAGTGGACTATGGAAAAACAGCAGCTGAAATGAAGGAGCAGTTTCTCATTTCATGTCGACAGCTAGGCATTAAGGTTGGAGAAGTGTTTTAAATTTCATCTAAATCAAATTCTAGTGAATTTCACAAACCGATCCTTGGTTGCAATGTGGATGTATTCCCAATCTCGCAGAAAAGTGAAGCAGCAGCAGCACAACAGCCACCAATAATAGTAGTAATAGTAGCAGCAGCAGTAGTCATAGTAGCAGCAGCAGTAGTCATAGCAGCAGCAGCAGTAGTCATAGCAGCAGCAGCAGCATCAACAGCATCAGCAGAGGTAGTGGCAGCAGTAATACTAGAGTTGCCAGCAGTTAACGAAAGTTTCTGTGTGGATGTGTGTTTAGGGGGAGCGGATCAAGAAGGAGTTGGTAAGCTTGTTGGGTGAGCTTCCCCAGCATTACTCTGAGATGCTGCAGGACATCGCAAAACTAGCCGATGTTCAAGTCTTCTACCTGGAGTTTGTCACATATACGTTAGGCAACAAGTAAATATTTTATTGAAATATTTAAAATCGCCTATAGTGACAGTTACGTTGTTCTCAAGATATACTCTAGTGACTACAACTGATTTCTTAGTGTGACTGTCCTACAGCAATAATGGTGTGGTCCTTTGCTTCAGGGAGTTTTTCCAGTGTATGTAATCAGGGGTTATATTAATCACAAATTATTTGTCATTATCAACCCCTGATGTAATTTATATTATCATACAATCAAAGAAATGTTTAGACGAGCTCCTTGATCCAAACCTTATGTCTTGAGTTTTCTACCTACATCAACTCGTAGCAGATGTGTTTCTCTTATGTGTGGTTCATGTTTTATGTTGCAGTGTATCAAGTGCAACACTAGATCGGTTACCAATGTTGAAATACATCATGGCTCATGGCAATACAACTACGTATGAGTGGAGAACTGGGAAAAAGCCCAGCAGAATTGATGAGCCTGTGATTAATGTGGAAGAAGACGAGAGCGTGACAATTAGCACATCTGATCAGGTATTGCATGACAGGTGCATGCCTTAGATATGTTGACAGAGTAATTATCTTTTGTTCAGATAATCTAGTAGTTTGCTGCCTGTTTCCTGTACCCTTCTGTGACCTACGTGTCTATTTACCATAGATATTATTAAAGGGATACGACACCCTAGAATTTTAGGGTATATTATGATAGTAAGTGCATAAATAATAGTATATACCTACAAATTGCTATAATCATGCATTCACATTTGTCATAAACAACATTGAGTTTCGAAATCTTTATTTTTGTCCGCTGACATCGACACCCCACCATTATGCTGCCACCCTGACAAAGTTGCGCTTTTGCTGATTTATTTTGCACGTTACTGACCGAGAGTTAATCACAAAAGTGCAATTATATTTATACCTAACTGCTATTTAACCAGAACAATTTTTATTCTAGGATATATTCGTCTATATTATAAATGAATCTAAAAGTTGTTTATAAAATATTGCAAGCTTTCTCCTCTTAAATTCATAAATAAGAAACACCCTCGGGTTGTAGCCTGCAGCCAAAAAGTTGTGATACGCAACTTTGAAAGCAGATGGGCTAGTAGTACTGGCGCCAACATTGTTGTAAGCAACAAATGTAATTTAAACAAAATATTTCTAATGAATATTGAACAATGAAATTTGTTATAGTAATTGTTATAGTATTGTTAGCGTAATTAAAACCTATTTTAACTAAAAATATGCAAGGAACTTAGCGTAATGTATCCCTTTGAGATGTGTTATTGTCAATGCTAGAAAGCATCATAATTTGGCTCTGATAATATTGTTGCATGATGGTAGATGCTATATAGTGTCTGATTGAAGTATGAAAGTAATTTAATGACCAGATTAATTACATTTCATTACCATTCTTGATGTTTGTTGCAGATTGATTTTGAAGGGACATCTCAGATCAACTTTGATAGTAGTGAGGAGGTCGATTTTGGAATAGAGCTGGAAACTGGAGCTGAAAATATTGATTTTGGCATTGAGGTATGAACATCAATTCATGTAGTATATTATGTGAAGTTATTAGGAATTTCAATGTAGATCATAATTATAGGTGTAGACACAATGTTTTCTTTTTATTCCTAATTAGCTCTAGAAGTGCACACAATATTGCAGTAATGTTTCCTTGGCGAACATGACTGCCTTTACCTGTTGTGTGCTGGTATTTGCTCGTGTTTGTAGGATGCTGCTGATGCTGAGGGAATTGACTTTGATGCTGCTGACCAGATAACGTTTGATATTACATTAGAAGATGAAAGTGGAACTCTCACATTAGACACAAAAGGTATTTTTTGTCCCCAACTGTATCTAGTGTGTATGTTTTTTACAGGGGTTTTACTAGATATTATTGTTTTAAAAGTACTGGACCTGTAAGTAAAAGTTGAAGATAGAATAGTAAATAAAAAATAAATGAGCCCCGAAAGGCGGCCGCAGGTTTGTTAGTCTTGCAGCCTGGTCGGCCTGTATAATACATGGGGTACCCCCCTAAATATGCAGCTGCATTCGGTGTGCACCAGCTTTTGTTGAAACTCCACTATATTTTACTATATTAATAAATATTCAATGTACGTTACTGGTATTAAAATATTACTTTACATATACAGTGGTATCCACTTTGTTGGGCCTTGGATAAATGAGCAAATCTCTTAAACAACATGTCTTTGCAAAACAATCTTTGCATACGTTATGCTATTGGATAAAGGTGACACAACCTCAGTTGAACGAGATATATATTTTATGCTGAAGAAACTTCTTTCTTAGTAGAACAATGCAAAACGATCCTCAACCTAACAGCGTACTGATAATTTTCGAATTTTTATCGGATTCTGAACATACGAGCTAACAAAACATTTAGAGCTAAACTTGTATGTATTAATTGTTTGCGGGGTATACTGCACAATGCGTGTTGTGTACTGCCGATTGCATAGGGTACAAGAAGTCGTGTACGATTGAAACTGTGTTCGCTGATTAAAGTTGATAAACCTCGCAGCTAAATGCATATATATACCTACTGTGAGCTTGCATATGTTGCAAAAATTCACTACAACTCATTTGTATTGCTACTTTCCTAACATTTCTTCTCAAAATGTAAACGAAATTACTTCTTTTACGAACGTAGCACCACAGTGATGTTTATACATCCGGGACACAGCGGAGCGATCGGCTCGATTCAGTAACAATTTCTTCCTATGATAAAACAAGTTCTAATTTATTATTCGATGTTTATTCTGTACAAAATTGTGAAATTTGTTTAAATCATATCGTTATCTATATTACTTATGCAATCAGGAAACAAATAGTGTTTTCGTTCCAGGAACTATTTGCGCTAGCGTATGGCTACTGCTAGCTGTGTAACAAAACCGCCTCCGAGAGTTTTCAAAATAGTCAACTTCGGAGCACATTTCTGGCTCAATGAGAACATTTCGTGATGTTTGCACACTGCAAGTATGCTCACAGTAGGTCTATATAGGCTTTTTGTTGCGAGGTTTATCCATTTTAATCGGGACGTTTTCGTTGTTCCTGAACTATCCCGATAAAGATAGGACAACTGTTGCTATGGTAGCTACAAGTATTATGCTATAATATTAATAGTGTAGAATACAATGTTGTGTAAATCCTTAATACTTTTAGAATCAAATGAAGGGCTCGCAACAGGCACTGATGCTTTCTTAATCATGGACAATGCAAGCACACGAAACCTGTTCTTAGATGACCTATACGAGGTACATAGTAGCTGCTAGTAGGGCAGTATTCTGTAGGTGGCAACTAATTATTAATTTTGTATTCATATATTGACTCCTATCCGATTGACCAAGCCTGCCTACCAAAATTCACTTGCAGTTAAATTCCCCTGACTTTGCACTGCTGGTGTTTACCATACAAAAGGTTGTAATCAGTTTGCTGTCCCTAACAAAAAATGCAATTGATTTTTAAGCCACATGACCGTACCTTAAATGTTGCATACCTTTGGTAATACATAATATAAGTCGCGCACTGGTGTCTGAGATTCCAAAGCCGTTTCACGGAGTAACTGAGTCGCAGCGATCAACGCGACAACTAACGGCCTCCGTGATGCTCCGCGTCTTCCTCTACCCGGCTAAGCTTCAACTGTTTGTGCCGACTTTTCGTGCAGCTGCAAGTCTTCCTCAGCCAGAGGCTGCTGGAGATGAGCTCCGAGGCAAACGTGCTCGCCATGAGCCAGTTTGAGAGGGCGCCTCTGTGCATACAGAGTCAGACGACGGAGCAACTGCAGCACTACCTGGCGGCCGTCGACGGCATCATATTGCAGCTGACGAGTGGGAAGATGCAGCACCTGTTTCTCATTAAGAGTTCGCCAAGGTACGCATGCGCACACGCAGCTACGAGATACAGAGAAAGCCTCTGCTGTGAGTACATCGTTGAGGGGACATCATTGAGTGCCTCAAGTTCGAGGAATTAGCTCGTGGTGTGGCAAGCCGTGCGAGGCTGCAGCCAAATATGCGATGGCATCGTACGTAGCAATAGCTAGATGCGACGTGTCGATTCTGCTCAGGTACGTCGACCGACTAGCGGAGTCACTGAAACAGAAGTGCTGGCAGGCGGACAAGATGATCCAGTCGCAGAAGTTGATGGTGCGGAAGCAGAAGGAGAGTCGTCGGGAGCAGGAAGCCCTAGAGCCAAAGCTGGCGCTGATCCACAAGCGCACTAAGGAGCTTCAGCAGCAAGTGAGTAGTTCAGTAGCAAACAACTGCAAACTGCTAATCCACATCACTTTCAAGAACATGTTATTTCTTCAGCAAGTACTTGCTGCCAGAGAAAAGGTAAATTTCTAATCCGATGCAAGCGAGATAAGCACTCGTAGATGTCTGCTCCCCCAGCAGGTTTTCAAATTTAGTAGTCCTGTAAAACAGCAGCTTTTCGCTTGCAGTTCAGTGCCCTATGATCTATTTTTGCAAGCAGCCAATGATGCAATTTGTTTACTATGAAATATGAGTGTACAAATGGCAGAAAATAATGAAAATTTGTATGTTGAGTTATGATTCTACATCATGAGATCACAAGTGTTTGCTCCAGACACAAGATGATTTCCAAAGCCAAAAAATTTCTGTTTGCCAACATACACCTCTATTTACCTGACATTAGTCACATCACTGTGCTATTATATTACATGTAACTGTGTGTTGTTGTACATGTACTATCATCTACATATCACTTGCATTCTAGAAATCATTATCGAACCTACTTGTGCTTGTGGAAAGTATCTTTATTCCTTGTTCTTTCAGATCCAAGGAGAAATTTCCAAGAAGTACAAAAACAGACCAGTGAATTTGGTTGGTGAGATTAACATAATTTGAAACACCAACTGAATTAGCAGATGAAAGTAAATTAATGTTGTCACTTGGTTGTCGTAATTTATCATGTTTTTTTACAAAGGCTTTTGATGAAAGATGAAGGTAGCTCTATTACTACACTTGCTTTTATTTAATAGACTTCAGCTGTTCATGAATCAGAAATCACAATTTACTTCCCCTATGTGTTACCGACAATAATAATTGCCTTGGATGGTCTGCAAACAATTGGGAATTTTTTACATGAACAGCTTACATCAGAAGGCTTTACATGATATGTTTACTTCATGCATTGAACGAATTCTCTTCACCTGTACCATGTTTCGGATTACGTAAACTACATAAAATTTACAGGTGATTAGAAATCAATAAAGAAACATTAATATATAACAAAGGAAACATAATGTATAAAAAAAGGTAGACATACTCTAAGGTGTTTATATGACTTTTTTTTTAGTTTGAAACAAGTATAATTTTGTCTAAGGTCGCTTGGCCCCAAAATCCTCTAACTGTAACAGATGAATTATCTAAAACAAGCATCCATTGTTGTAAAATATTTTATTATGAAATAAAGTCCTTTTGGATGACCACCCAGTACATGCGTTGTCTTGGCCTTTACTACAAATGTAATGGTTTTACAAAGAGATGTCTCAAATCTTACATTTATCACAATTTGAAACTAATCTCCTAATAATATCATATTAAATAATTCATATTAAATGCAGGCAGCCCAATTTCAGCTACTTGATATGACAACGGGCACGTAATTGAACAATATGTTGTTCTCGTCTCACCACAAGTCCTTTTTCCATGGCGACGAAGCTCTCTTTTGTTTCACTCGTACTCGTGAGTTCAAGTCATCAGCGGTCGGCTGTACTACACTCTTCATGTTACCAATGTCAACAGATGCACGAATCGGTACCTCATCGCCTCCGACACAAGCGTCCGTTGCAAACGTTTCGCCATGACGTTGCATGGGATCGACTCTCTGAGTTTCCCTGTCTTCTGCGTGTTTCACCGCCACTGTGTCGCTCTCTATGTCCTGCTGGCTGCTTTGATCACCATCCTCTGTTATCAATTGCCCTTTATTCGATGCGGCATGCTGGCCTTTTGGAGCGAACAGTGTCTTTACCTGGAAACTGCTAACACCACTCGCGCCCGTGCTGTTGTCCAGCTCAAACAGCCTCAGGATTCCCCAGTTCTTGTTGGACTTTCTCTCTGAACCACACTCCAGTTGCCAGAGGGCACTACGTATTCCTGACATCATCCTGCAGCATAATTATTATTATCATAATTGCAGTACAGTGCACAAATATTTTTTTTTTTTTTGCACCAGCCCAGAGGGCTGGTAACAGCAATTTTATACTAGCCCTCACCATAATTTACCAGCCCTCACAAATTTTGTTTGTAAAATGAACGTCATGTTTCACGCTTGCATTCTCGATTTCAAATTTGTAAAATGTTGATAAATTATGGCGTGATATCCTTCAGGTAAAACAGTAATGTAGGCTATTTGCTCATTAATGCTATAAATAATGAAAGTGTCAATGACACTATAGCTCACCTTGGGTGTGATAGAAGAGGGAGATAGTTAAAATTTGGCAAGTGTTTCATTTATGACGGACCGAAATGTGATCAAATGTCCTTAGCTTATTCCCTGTTTTATACCAATAGAAATTTCACCGTTTTGTTTCAGGGTTAGTTTTGATGCGAAAATAAATGTTTCAGATCTGAAAGTCTAAAATCTGGGCGAGAGATGGCGCTACGCCTAAATGATCGCCATTTTGGTTTTAGATTATCGCGCAAATAAAAGCAATCAAATATTACAGTCAAATTACTGTAACGAAGAATCTAAAACAAAATATTACACATAGGTATGATTAGGTAGGTAGGTAAATTTAACAAAATCGAATGAACCTATAGATGGCCATTTTCATTTTTGCCAAAAAGTCGGCATGGCTCGAAAGTAGGTCGACTGGCGTGCTCCAAAATAGGATGGACAAATCTCTGCTATAGGCGTAACAACTGTATGCAATTTGAAACATGTCGGTCAAACAGTTCTTGAGTTATCGTTGACCGTAGGCAGACACTGAAATGCATAGTGAAATTGCCAAAATCTACCTAATTTGCATAATTTAAACAAAATAGCAAAATCCATTGAACCTGAACTGACTTATGGCCATTTCCATTTTTGCCAAAAAGTGGGCGTGGCTCGAAAGTAGCTCGATTGGTGCGCTCCAAAATAGTACGTTCAAATCTCTCCCATAGGTGTAACAACTGTATGCAATTTGAAACATGTGGGTCAAAGGGTTCTTGGGTTATCGTTGACCGTAGGCAGACACTGAAATGCATAGTGAAATTGCCAAAATCTACCTAATTTGCTTAATTTTTAAAAAGATATCAAAACCCCTGTGATATGTTTTGGTGCCAGTCCTTATTCATTCACATACCAAAAATGAGCAAAATCCGTTGAACCTGAACTAACTTGTGGCCATTTCCATTTTTGCCAAAAAGTGGGTGTGGGTCAAAACAGGGCTCGAATTAAGCGACGAGAAGGGCAAGGCAATTTTTTTAGGGCATGTGAGAAATCGCCTTGAATTTTCTCTAAAATGGAAGGGCACAGAGGCAATTTTAAAAGGCACCAAGGCAACTCAAAATTTGAGAGGGGCACAAAGGCACGTTTGTAAAATAAAGGAAAACTCATAACAAATTAGTACATCAACATCGTCTTGCTTTTAATGTACAAAACAATATGCCCCCATGTAATTGTAAGCTTACACTGTAACACCGACCCCTGTACCCCCCTCTGCTAATGGAAGTACAGTAACAAGAAATTTTACATGCCCGCTATCAGGAGCGAATAATTATCCGATGCTGTTATTATTCCCTCCTGCGACTATCGGTTTTAAGCTCATCATTGCAACTACAGCACACACGCGCACGTGTTATGTTGACTCGACTAAAAACGAAACTAGGGCAGTAGATTAAAGGGCACCGACGGCAATTACAGAAAAGGGCAAGGCAGGTGACTGCCGTCGGTCGAGTTGGATTTTCAGGGGCAGTACGGCGATTGATAGGGGCACCGACGGCAATTGCCGTCGGTGCCGTCGGTTAATTCGAGCCCTGGGTCAAAAGTAGGTCAACTGGCTTGCTCCAAAATAGGACCTTCACATCTCTCCCATAGGACGTAGGAGTAACAAGTGTATGCAATTTGAAACATGTGGGTCAAACGGTTCTCAAGTTATCGTTGACCGTAGCCAAATGTTGATGGACGGACGGACGACACCCCATGGCAATAGCTAATCTTGACGATGTCAAAGCGAGCTAAAAATGTAGGTACTCGCTAGTGTTGTCAATTGGTTGTAATTTCGTAATCGATCATCGGTTGGACCCAAGTAACCGATGATCAGTTACAATCGGTTACTCGGGGTGTTGAATGCATGCGTGTGCGTAACGTCGTGTGCATGTACGTGTGTGCATGTATGTGCTTGTTTAGCCCTGTTTACTGTTTGTTTTGCACTGTTTACTACTGTGTGTATAATACATGTATGTTAATAAAGGAAAACTTGTATAGTAGCGATGATATCTCTGATTCTCATCACTTTTCCAGGTTTTCTTTTCAACTTTTACATTTATTTTGTTGTTTTTTCTTTCTTTTTTTTCCATGAAATCGATTATGGATTTTGATAACCAAGCGCTTGGTTCGAGCCACTGTTCAACCGATGATCGAGTATAATCGATGATCGTGACATCACTAGGCGCTTGGTTCGAGCCACTGTTCAACCGATGATCGAGTATAATCGATGATCGTGACATCACTAGTACTCGCTAACACGGCTGAAACCACCGGCTCGGAGGGCCGGTGTATTGCCAATATTACCGGCCCTCCAAATAATTTGCCAGCATATGACGGTGGGGCGGTGCTAATTTCACACCCTGCAGTATTTTAATTGATTATTGTTCAGGAATGGTTTACGTTCCGAGACCCATGGAATTCTCTTTTTCGTAGTTGTGGGGGGTATTTTAGAAACGTTTTCTGAGGAAGGATTGTATCGTTAAATAACAGACATACTGACTATATACATCATAACTTAAGGTTGTACATCCACATCACGGCAGTGGTTTTTTAGTAATATGTACGATGTAGGTGCACTTTTATAACAATTCTTTCAATTCTCAGCTAATCTTACGAGGTACCTATCAAGTTCTTCTGAGCTGACATTCTTTGTGACATTGAGGTCAGCATCGATGCAATTCTCTATGTGCAAAGGAGAGAAATCTGGTTTCTTTAGTGTGTCTGCGTTGATGATGGAGAGTGCGGAAACATCGAATGGAAAGTTCTGGTAGAAACTGTAGAATTCGTGCAAAAGGTCACCTGAAAACCAAACGTCCAGATCATTCACCAATAATATCTAGGATAAAACCTTTGCTATTTTATAGTAAAATAATACATAAAACAGCAAGCATACCCAAGTTATCCATTGCACAGTCTTTACGGACGATGTTCAGGTTGGCACCAGTTCTTCTCGACTTGGCCACCTCCTGAAGAACTTTCTCGCCAGATGGAAGCACCGTCCCATTTCTCTTTTGCATAAAGAATATTGCAAGAAGAGTGAGAGCGAAATTGCTGACCCATCGGCCAGGGATAGGGTTTGTGATTTTGTTCAACCTCGCCCAGGTTCGGATGGTAAACACGAGTGGTCTCAGCTGTGGGTCAATCTCACCAAATATGTACAGTAGTTGAGTCATGTCCACACCAGACCTAAAAAACACAATTGAAGTTGCTATAACTATTACTCATATATTCAAGCTTAGTTACTAGTATGCACACTGACATTCCAAAGGTCTGCAACGAAACAAGTATAATATATGCAAATACAAAGTTTGGTATCAATAGTGCAGCTTTCAAGCTCCATTCCAACGACACTAAAATATGCCACCTTCCAAACACCCCTCCCCGCTCATCCTTCACAGCTTTAACTCGCTTTCCGCGAATGACACTGAAACAATCAACCATCGGCGGCAATCGATTCGTCGTGACGTCGCCGCACGTTCACCTGTTTGTGGACATCGAGAGGTCGCAGTCGATCTCGAGGATCTCGTGTTTGAACTTGACGATGGGCACGCGCGCATGCAGGATCCGGTGCACGTTTAGACAGCCGGGCATCAGGTACTGTAGCACGTCTCCCAGAGTACCCAACGTTCGCTGCGTCTGCAAGCGGTCATTCTGCATGCACTTCTTGCTGAGGAACAATAACGGGCCGGCCTTGCGTACCTGTCAGAGGGAAAAGCACCGTGGTGCATTACAGCGTAGTTATCGCGTGCGACTGATAGCACTCGTGAGGATTAAATAAACAATATTAGCTATGTAACGGCTAAACTTTCACATGTGAAACATTTTCGAAAAAACTGGCGGTTATAATAATTTGCGATGATTATTATATAATGTGACTCGCGTTTGCAAATGTAAAGAAAGTGTCTTGTATACTACTTGCAAAAGGAGAAATTTAAATATTGAATTTACTTGAATTTAAAGCATATTAAGTTCAGGTTCATACGTTCTGTGTCAAGTCCTCAAACGTCAGCATCATGTCAAGATCACATTTGCGCTTTCCAAAACCACTAAACGAAGACCCAAAAGGTTCGGCCTTGATGTTTGGAAACATCCCTGATAAGGAGTCTTCTAACAAAGACGCAACAAAGTAGCGCAACCTTGTTCCAAGTTCTGTGAGACGGGTGCCTTCATATAATATTTGCATCTGCTCGGATATCTAAAAATGTAGCATAATGATTTTAATGTATAGGTGAAGGGTTGTCAAATATTTTACTTGTTTCTCCATGGATTTATATTTTCATGCTAGAAAGAACTGGCTGTGCTTCATTAGCCATTAATACAGTGAGAATTCATGTAACATATAAGCTACTGAAACAATAAGGGCAGAGCCAATGGCTTAAAAAATGTCTTAAGTTATTACTTTACGGATTCACTTTTAAGAATATTTTGTGTTAATCGTGAACAATCAGTGCTACAGTTTTCAAGGTTACAGCTTGATAAACACCAAACCATGAAGCAGGTACATTTAAGGCTATGATTCGTAAAAATTCATACTTACAGACGTTGCCTCAATGAGTTTGTTCTGTAGTTGGTCCTCTGTTAAAACTGATTCCACATCAATATTCTGTGAGAGCTGTATTGGTAGAAATTTATATTCTTTTCATAAAGTAGTTTAAATGAAATGTAAAAACATCAGGTATGACTACTGTTCATTAAAAAAGAACACCCAGATAGATTTAGACAAGATTGTATAGTAATCATAGTTGCTGACATATAGTTATAAGTAGTAACATATAGTATAACATATGTTAATTACCAAGCTATTGGTATGATAATTTGGATACGACTTGCTTTTTTAAGCAAGACACATGCAAATGTAACTAAAAGTAAACCTGCAAAACAACCTTACCTTTGAAATCGTTTGGTTTACAGGGAGGTAGTAGAACATTCGCGACCGAACGGGTATTACTTCACTTCGAGTAAAATGCTTGCCAGTTTTCACAAGTTGGCTCACCGACCATCTGCTGTCAAACTCCATGAGGACATAATGCTATAAATATAACCAGCAAGATTTAAACAAACCTTAGCACTTTTGTCTCTAATATTAATTAGCAATTAGACACCAGAACTGGAATCATTAGGAAATAGAACATTTAATTCACGTCCCATAAGAAGGAATATCAAAAACATCTGGTCTTCATAGACGCTTGAATTTTACCTCATGTAATTGGACGAAACAACCATGTACAGATGCAGGGTATAAAGTAACCGGTAATAAAGAATAAAGTTCAGTTTCACTACATAACATTAACTGAGGTATAGTTTTACCCTGTCTCCAGCACTTGATGGAAATAGTACAGATTTATTAATGATTCCCACACTGCTGCAAGTGGCGTGCAAACTTGCAACATCAGCTGGTGAGGAAACTTGGACCAGAACACTTCTGTGTGCCTCTTCATTTCTTTTCCTGTATATCTGATCATATGTCTGAATGCAACCTGGGAATTTTTGAGAAAAACAAACTCAACTTTAACACTCATAATACCAAGAGGAAAACACATTGTTTGATGTATTGGTGACATGGTTCACGATGTCAAAATTAGTTATCAAAGTTTAACATTCCAGATTTCATCCATGACTCCTTTACTCTAGCAACCAATCTCTAGTGAAAGCAACAACTCTGGTGGGGTGAATTCAGAATTGACAATACCAGCAGGGGTCGAAATTAGCGGTATCCCGATATCCGCGGGATAGTAGATTCTTGTGTTGGATACCAGATTTCAATGCTTGGTATCCCGCCGGGATAGTAAAAAAAATCGTCAAAATCGGAATAGTGGTTGTTGAGCATATTTGCAAGCGTAAGCGTAGCCGATGTTGATAATAAATGTGATGTGTATACATTGTATCAAGCGAACCAGACAATGCGTCTAGACAATACGTCTGCAGTGTACTTGTCTGTGCATATCTGTGAATCTGTTTTCATGTTTTTATATGAATAAATATGTTCAAGAGCTAATAATATCAGGAGTCTATCATATAAGGACAATAATATGAGTGATAATATGGTACAAGTAGCTTTTGACATATTCAAGATATTATACATGCTATCAGGAGCTTATAAATGGATATCCTAATCAAAAATAATTACATTACATATTAATAATTTTCAAATGCTATTATTGCATATTTCAAGATTTTGGATATATATACCAACATACCAACATGCCAACATACCAACATTGTTGAAATTACTATCCAAATGAAAGTGTCAATGACACTGTAGCTCACCACAAAAAAGGACACAAGTGAGTGAGTGAGAAGAAGTCAGTTTTAATTGAGCAACCATTGACGTACATTATAGAAACGAAGAGTATACCGGTATATGGGAGAACTCCCATTATATACTCTTGATAATTATATGTGTAATTTTTTATGTGAAAATAAATGTTTGAGATGTGAAAGTCTGAGATGTGGGCTGAGTGATGGCGTTAGCACCTAATGACGCCATTTATAAACGTTTTTATAATATTCGATTTATGGCACTGCCTACAAAGCGGAGCTTCCCGAATGTGTAACGTGTAAGATTGAGAGGATAACGACTTATTCCACGTAGCTGCCCTAATAAGTACCCACGTTTTTGGGGACGCAATGGATGTTTCCCGAGTGCCCATAAAGCGACAACTTTGTCAAAAGGTATAATTGGTTGCATGGAAGTTTTTACTCTCGTATTAATTTTTGTAGGCGGTAGCAGCACGGTTTGCCATCCTGTATATCCGGCAATATAATTTACAAACCAAAATGGAATCAGC